TATCAGGTTCTGCTTAACAGTTGGTGAAGAAATGCAAACTGTTTTGAATTTCAATTAGCCTCTGTTCCACGAGATCATGAAGAGAGGGTGCTCTTAGCACCACACCAAGTACTCGATGAGCCCCTGGCCATGATGGCTGCACTTCTATCACCACGAGCAGGTTCTGGGATACGTGTTCTACAAATGTCTCTTGGACTTTCACACCAACCCCAATGGCAGCAGTGGCCCCATTTCACAGATAAACAAAGGCTGAGTGTGTTTCCTCTGGTCTTTTTATGAACCACGCCCAACATCCCCTTAAGCCCCAGGCCTCTTTCAGGGATCTATCTCCTCAAGAGTCTAGTCATCAGAGTCTGCACAGTGTGCGGTGTGTGGGGAGTGCACCAAATCAGTAAAACCTACACATCACAGAACTACTCTGCTGGGCTTCCTTGGCATCATCTTCACACGGGCCGATCACCAGGTCTTTCTTCTGTGTGTTGCTGGGTCTTTTCTTGCCATGGTCAATTCCGACTCGGGGTGACCCTACATGTTACACAGTAGTACTGTCTAGTAGCATCTTCTTGGCTGTTATCTTCAAGGAAACAGATCTCTGAGTCTGTCTCCCATTAAGTCATTGGGTAGGTTTGAACTACCAATCTCTCTGGAGCTGCCTGGAGCTTCAGGTGTTGCTCCATGAAGGCTCCTTGATACCAGATATAGTGGTGTTTGACTCTACCTTGAGCTGTGAGACTGGTACCAAGTGAACTCTGTTCTATATTAGAAACTCATGCACACCTTGCAGGGAGCCTACGAGATGAAGTCATTGAGGTCAAACATTTAATCTCTTACTGGGACCATACAAGATGTTTCATAAGACCATCAACAGGGGTGAATCATCTAGGTCACCTGGTACAACATAGGTCATAAAGGTAAGGTGCTACACCCTAGTTTGATGAATAGCATCTGGGTCCTAGAAACTTGTGAAATGGCCATCCAAGACACAACTATTGGTCTCTTCCGATCTGAGCAAAGGAGAGTGAGCAAAGCCAACGGCTCATGGAAGCAGTCAGCCCAAAAGACTCACGGTCCACAAGGCCACAGCTTCCTCCGGCCTAAGACTAGAACTAGAGGGTGTCTGACCAGGCACACTGTAGAAGGGCCCGGTTAGAGTGGGAGCAAAATATAGAACACATTTAAATCAATTTTTGTTTAAAGCCAGACTTACTAGACTGAGAAGAGATCAGAGGAATCCTCGAGACTATCACTCTAATATGTCCTTTTATCCTGGAACGGAAACCATTTGCAGGCTACCGTTCAGCCAGTTAAAAGATTGGTCTATAAACAAACACTATCACCTGGCAGGAATGTGCTCCTTAGAAAATGGGCAGTATTTGCCCAAAGCCAAAGATGAGGCAGCAAGGCGGGGCCAGATATTTGGGGTGGGGGGGTGTGAGTGGGTATTGGAGGTAGCGCCTACACCTGTCCTTGAATTATTGAATGGGAAATGAATTTTCTATGTAAACATTAACCTAAAACACTGCATCATCTCTAGGGAGAAGATAAAAAAAGATGCTTAATAAACACTGACTAAAGGGGGTAAAAGCATCCTCCACTTGGCAGATGGCTTAAGGCCCCTACTTTTCAATAGAGAACTGTTCAAAAATGTCACTTCTATTGTATTTTAAATGTCCTAGGACTCAGACAGTCACGGGTCAGAGTACAACAGCTAGACTCTACCCAAGTTAAAACACCAAGCAAAGATTTTAAATACAGTACAGAAGCTCAATATACTAGCAGAACAAGGAATCTAGAACAACCTCCTCACGGTAACCAAAGAAACAGAGGCCCAGCGAGTTGAGATCTGCCCATGCCTGGTCCCAGGCTGGACCGGGCCGGAACCCTAGCTGCTGCCTCCCTGTGGGCGGCTCAGTGGCACCCTTATTCAGCCTCTCTCTAGCTGCTCCTACTGTCTGCACCTCCTCCCCTGGAATCCAGAAGATTACAAGGAGGGGCTCATAAATCACTTTTTGCTCCTGAGTTTTACAGTGCTCTTTTCTAAGGAGTTCAAAGGCACTCAGTAATAAACCAAGGTGATGAGTTTATGCCTTTTGCTTTTAAACTAAAACTTTATTTGAACTCCTAGATAGGCATTTACTTTTGTTTTTGTTTTTCTGAATTTAGGACAATCCCCTCGAATTTCAAGATTTTGTCGTGGCATTTTCTGTGGGAGGGTAGTCCTGGGAGAGGGTGGAGGGCACACCTGAGGAAGCTGGCTCTGTGTCCCAGCTCTAATCTCCCCCCACTCTCCCACAGGCCTTTCTGAAGGCTGGACTGGGCCGAGGCTGGCAAAGTCCTCCCTTCCAGGTTTTCCAACAAGTCTCAACTCAGACACGAGGAGCCCCCCTGCCTCCATATGTTGACGACTGGGCTGTAAGCTTCTGCCTCTCCCTCTTCTTGTGCGGGCCCCCAGACATGGATCCAAAGGCACACCACCTGCAGAGTGCCACGCTGCCTTTCTTCCCTGGTCTCTCCTTGTTGTCCTCGGAAGTTCGGAGAAGAGAATGCACAGTGTGCAAAGTTAGGTGGTTTTTTTTTTAAGGAAGCAGAGAGAGAGAGAGAGAGATCTAACTCATAGCACCTCCTGCACTCCCCAGGTTTTAAACAAATGATCAGGGTTCATCTGGCCCTTTTGCTAATGATTGTACTCAGATGTCAACCCAGCGGCTTGGCCAGCACACAACTGCTATAAACAGAAAGGTGGCGGGTTGCTGAGAACCTCATGCATAGACCCTGGCCCTCCACATGCAATATGTTTTGGAGAATGAATCAACCTGAGAGGTATCTAATGTTTCAATATATGTCTACAGAGTTTTTATTCCCTGGTTTCACAGGTCAGTGGGCAAACCAGACGAAGCTTGCTGTCCCAGTGGCAGGAGAGAAATGGCTGGGTTCTGTGAGCGACTTTAACAAGTCCCACCACCACGACCCAGGACAGAATAGGGTGACTTCCTGCAGGCTCTGTGCCAACCTGTTTATAGGCATCAAGATGGAGCTGTACTAGATGAGGGCACACCAACGCCAGCCCAGGAGTCCAGCCCTGAAGAAAACAGTGGAGTAAGGAGAGTAATGCTTACAAGGAAAGCTCTGTTCCCAACTTTAGGATATAGCTGGAAAATCTCCCAGGAAAGCACTAAGATATTCTCGTGGGGGTCACTGTTCTCTTACCATCACTAAGCAGCTCTGGGCAACTCTCAGGGCCTGGGCCACTTAATATGTCTTGATTCAGATTCTCAGATTGTCAACCAAACGGCTAATAATAATTGGCGTGTTTTTTCCCAAAGGGTAGGAGAACTTGATAGGCTCTGAAGGCCCTCCCTTGGAAGACACACAATTCACAAACAAGAGTGGGCCTGCGAGGGTCTCCTGATCAGAGGTCTGTCCGGGAGTGCTGGCTGGGGAGTTTTCAAATCGAGTGGTCCACAGCAAAACCAGCTGTACCTCCCCAAAAGACTATGCCCTCCAGGAAGCCAGGAACTTGAACCATTTCTCCCTAACCATCTCCTTCACCTGTGCCTAGAGCCACACCATTTGAGACATTTACTAGCAAGCCTTCAGACCAGAATCCTAAGGAGAGGCTAACTTTCCTCTAGCCAAGATTCTGCCACCTTTCTCTGCATTGTCCCCTCTATTTAACAGAGCCACCCAGGGTCCAACAGACATTACCCGTTGTGCTCTAAGATTCTGGACAAATGGCTTTCCAAAGTTAGTGTACTTTTGTCTTAGCTTGGAGTCAAAGGTAACACTGACCTTGTGGGTGAGCAAGTCTTTTTTCTATTTCTAAATGAGATGACAAGAGTCAACAGCAGCAGACCTCTGTTGAGGGCTTACTATGCTATAGAAGCCCTGGTAGTGCGGTGGTTACATATTGGGCTGCTTACTGCAAGGTTAGCAGTTCAAAACCACCAGCCACTCAGAGGGAGAAAGAGAAAGCTTTCTATTTCCATAAAGAGTTATAGTCTTAGAAACCCAGAAGGATAGTTCTACCCTGCCCTATAGGGTCTCCGTGAATTCGCATCGACTCGATACTATGAGTTTGAGTTTGGCCATGCACCAGGTAGACCTTTGGACTTCATCTCATCTCCCAAACCATCCTATGAGTTAAGTTCTGATCAAACTTAACTCACTGCTATCGAGTTGATCCTGACCCATGAAAACCCTATAGAATAGGGTAGAATTGCTCCTGTGGGTTGCTGAGACTGTAACTCTGTAAGACAGTAGAAAGCCTCAACTTTCCCCCAAGGAGCAGGTGGTATCTTCGAATTGCTGACCTTGCAGTTAGCAGCCCAAGAATACCTACTACGCACCACAGGGAAAGGCCATAATTCCTGCTGTTCCAACATCAAAAAATGCTCTAAAACCACAAAGCTCTTTCATAATTTGTTTGGCAGCCAAACAAAATGGATGTCAAGTCATCAGGAAGTAAGTCTGAGAGAGCCAAGTCAGCACTTTAGTGTCTGTTAGTACAGACTCTAGTGATTCCCTTAATGTGGACACAGGTAAGCTTCTGCTACACAAATATGAACATGTTTGACTACCGAGTGCTGCCTGAGCTCCCAAGGGCTACTTCACATAAAGCATATGCACTAGATACCATCTCAAAGCCCCAGATCTCCAATTTCTGAAATATCTTGCCTGAAGGGCATCAGAAAAGGTATTATGAATTTCTATTAACAGCCCATTACACAGATGACGGTTAATGAATGGAAAGGAGCTTGCCCAGGGCCACACAGTGGGACCGTGGTTGAGCCAACAAGACCCTAGAGATCTGGAGGATGCAAGCAGTATGCTGGTCGGCCACCACAAGACAAGACATGCCTTAGTCCTCAACCTGGGGTTTCAGTGAAGAAAGGGCACTCTACCCACACAGGTCTCCTCCATAGCCAAGTGTCTGCGGGATGGGGAAATGGAAGGAGACCACCAGCCACAACGGGAGCAATTGCTGGGGGATGGGTGCTTACCTTGCCCAGGACAGTGAGGCATGGTTTCGGGTCCAATTCTGGCTGTTCCAGCTTTACCACTCCAACCCAGCCATATTCATACAAGTCCTCTTCATCATTGTTATTACACAGGCCCAGTGGGTGCATCTACAGAAAGAGAGAGAGAGGGAAAGCATCAATGGTCAGCCTTCAGGTTGAATGGATTATTATTATTATATTATTTGGTCTTTCTCAACTGTAACAACCAAAACTAGCCTCAAAACTTAAAATGAATGGGGGAGGAGGGGTTGTATCAGCTTTTCAACCCACGGAAAATGCTAATTCAGTGCTATGAGTAGAGACCCAGGAGAAAACAATAGAGCAACTGTAAATATATATATAATTTTTCACGGTAAATCTATTTTATAGATCCTGTCTCACAGCTTTGTAAGCAGGGGTCACCCAAGTTGACACCACCCTGATGAGTGTTGGGAGAGAAAAATAGCACAGCTCCCATAAAAATGCCAATCTAAATAGCTGAGAGGAGACTGCCTAGATTGGTGTCCCAGTTGTTTTGTTTCCAAACTGTAAGGACACATCTACCTCAACTTAGGCTAAAAGCACCTAAAGAGGCATGAGGCACTCGCGTGCAGGGCTGCAGAAACACTGACAACATTAAGGACATCCACAGGCTGGCGGAGAAGAAACTGGGAAGACGATGGAGGAGCACAGTAAGCCCGAGGGGGAAGAAGAGTCACAGCAAGAGACGGGAGCTTGGAAACAAGAAAGGAATTTGGTCTCCTGCACACTCTCACAGGTTCTTAGGCAGAAGAATGACATAATTTCTGAACATAGACCTTTTATGCCTGAACACAAGGGACAATTCTGAACGAGAGACCAGACCTTTGGCATTCCACAGAACAGTAAGAAAAGGGTTGTAAGGCCATCTAGCTCAGAAGCAACAAAGCCCACATGGAAGAAGCACACCAGCCTGTGCGATCACTAGTTCTTGAAGGGACAGGTATCAGGCATCATCATTAAAAAAAAAAATCTTATCATAGTGAATGAGGGGAGGAGTGCGGGTTGGAGACCCAAAGCCCATTTGTAGGCCACTGGAGATCCTCTTGCAGA